ATAAAAAAGTAAATTTTTTTGAAAATTAGACCCAAACAAAGTGATTACTGTTTACTCAACTTCCGTTTGTTTCCAATGAATTTGTTTTTTTTTTTAAATTACTTTATATATTTTTGATATTTGGTAAGGCAAATTTTTTTAAAAAAAAAAAAAAAAAAAATTCACTCATCAAAATCCAGAATATATTCATCAAATCCACTCATTTGTCATTTTCTTTAGACTGAGACTTTGCCTTTGAATTTTTCATCCATTTGTAACTCAAAAGTTTGGAACCAAGACTTATCGCTATAAATTTTTTTAGTGATTATATGGTGAAAATTAAATTTGTATAGCATAGAATCTATATACAAAATAAATATGACCCACATAAGATAATAATTTAAAATAATTTCTAAGTAGTTAAATTTGAATTTTTAGTACTGTTGTTGGTAACTATGGACACAGCTATCTAATAGCTTCAAAGTTATCTTGTAGAAATCACTTCCCTTCAAATTGACCATCTAATCATTCACAGAGGTTTCCAATGGAGATGATGAAACTGACTGTGTTTGACAAGTGAGTTTGCAGGTTTTTTTGACTATTTTAATCACAAAAAATAAAATAGGCTATTTTAGTCATAACAAACAAAACATCACATCCAACCCATAATCATTACATTCTTCTTCTGTCACAAAAAAACTCAAAAAAGCCAAAAAGCCCTTCCCAAACCAAGCTTTTAAGCCCAGGCTAAAATAGCTAAAAAAACCAAAAAGCCAAAAAGCCAACCTACTTCTCAAACGGAGGCTTACGGGCTTAGTTTTTAAGGGAATGCTATGGATTTAATTTCTCTTAGGAGAGTTAAATTAAAAAGACAAGTATTTGGTACTTTGTAAATGATGAGGAAACTAATTATCAGAAGTATTAATCTAACAACTAATATTATTTTACTGTCAGTTGATTAATAAGAGGGTAATTGTAATTTTAAAATTACACAAAAAAATTTGTTTTTGTCATTGATAAGAGGATAATGGTAATTGTAATTTTAAAATTATAAGAAAAAATCTATATTTATCAGAAACCTCAGTGAATTTTTTGTTTAATTTTTCAAAAACTATTTTTAGATGAGCTTTCATTTATTGTTAAGAATTTTTTTTAAAAATATTTTAGTCAATTTTTTTTTTAATACTTTTTAGATGCACCTAATCGAGTTGCATTTAAAAGTTAAAAAAAAAAATTGACTAAAATATTTTAAAAAATTACTGAAAACAAACGAAAAATGGAACAAAAATCTATGTATATTTTTGTTCGGACTTTCGTAATTTTTTTATATTTTAGTTAAACTTTTTGATTTTTTAAATGTTTCTAAACTTGAAATATCTAAAATAAATATTAAAAAATCACTAAAGACAAATGATAATTCGTTTAAAAATACAAATCAAACACTGCTTTTAGTGTATTTGGTAATATTTCACTACAGAGGTAAGGCCCACCAATGGCCTTCACATGTGAGCTTCATATGTTGGGGCCAGAAAGTAATCAGTACACAATACTTCTGGAGTGGCATGTTCCAAAAGCATCAAATAAAATTTTAATTTTTTTTTTATTTTTTCATTTTCGAGCATAGCTTTCCCATAACTTCTCTTAATAGAATCTCCGAGAGGAGAGGTATTTATATTTTAGCTATTTTGCTTAATATATCATAACAAAAATGAGTTTCAACAAGATAGACAACACAGATTATTTAGTCTCATCTCTTCTTGACTACCTGTATTTAGAGTCTTAGGAATTAGGTAAGTTAATCTCCGAAATAAAGGTTGTTTTGAAAAGATGGTTAAAAATTAATTTTTTGATTTTTTTAACTTTTTTTACTGTTTCATGTGAGAGGTAATGTGGCTCAAAATAGATTAAAAACTAATTTTTAACTTTTTATGCATGTTGCCAAAACAGGCCAGAGAATGTTGTTGGAGTGTGCACCAGTAATGATAGAGATCCCCACAAAACACAACCTCCACAACCTTCAAAATGATCTAAACCATTCATGTCACTGGGTAGGGGCCCTCCTTTGTGGGAGTCCCAAACATTTTCCGAGTGTGCACCAGGTTATCTAATTAAGAGCAACTTCAACAAGCTCTCTTCTCTATGTTGTGCTTGTTAAGTATCTTAAAAGGTAAATTATAAATACACATTCTGAGATTTGATTAAACTATAAATTGTCAAATTACAAATACCTCATTGTTAGAAATTTTTTATTTAACAAAATTAATTAAAAAAATAAAATTCATAATTGTTCTCCTATACAATAATAAAATTATCTAAATTATTAATTAAAACATATTTCTAATATCATTAAAAACTGCTAATTGACTTGATGATTTATTAATAAAAGGAACGATTTGTTATTAAATTAAAAACCTCAGGAGTAGATTGTAATTTCCAAAACTATAAAGGACGATTCGTATTTTAATCAAATCTTAGGAGATGTATTTGTAACTCACCTTTTTTTTACATAGCCAAATTACAATTCTAATTCTCCAACAGGTAAAATAATACATTAGGTATTTTGCTTCATTTGTGAGGGAGTTAGCTACAATTGGACAACCAAGAGAGATTAAACAAATGGTTTCTATAGGAGTCTATGTGGCTAAATATAAGAATGAGCAATTATGTTGGACAAAATGTCTAATAAAAGTACATAAAAAAATAAACTAGTTATTTTGCATCAATGTATGTACTTCAATAACATTCTTTATCGTCATTTGTTAACCAATAAAAAGACAATTTATTTGATTTAACTTGGGTAAATTACATTGACATTTCTGTTTAACACAAATTTTATCTTCACATTTAAAAAATAATATCTCTCATTGAGGTTTGTAATCTCATTATAATTTATCTTATGTATTGTTGACGTCATATCTTAAATTTTTTTAAATAGCTATCTTGCCATTTTTCTTACAATTTCTTATTCCTATCATCATATTACATTGTACAACTTTTATCATTAAATTTTACCTGAACATATTCTTATTAAATGGTGATATATAAACATAAATTTTACATAGAATTTTCAAATATAATCATATAGCTCAACGGTGATCTTTCACTTTAAAGCAAAACACCTATAGACATGATTTATATTTACAATAATATCACTATCACCCATAGTTTTGACTTAAGCGGAGCTTGTCTTGGGAGGTTGGGGCAAGTTTCCAGGTTATAGTCTTCTCGCTCGGAACGGCTAACAGGGCACCTTGGTGATCTCTGAAAAGGGGCGCTGCCTTGAATCTGCGGGAGAGTAGGGAGGATTTTCCTGTAACAAAAAAAAAAAAAAAATATCACTATCACAACATTTTTATAATTTTTTTGTATAAACTTTTATATATGAATATAATTTTTCATTTTTATTTCCACCATTATATCTAAATTAGATCAATTTAATTTAGATATATTTAAAGAGTATAAAATTTATACAAAAATTTAAAAAAAATTCGTTGAATACAACAAAAAAAGATAATGTTTTAAATTGTAGTATTTTTTATTTATTTTTTATTTTTTGTATTTGGTGAATTTTTTTTTAAAAAAAAGCTCAAAATATTATACTTCTTAAGTATATCTGGATTAGATGCATCTAAAAAATAAAAAAAAAATTACTTCAAATATTAAAAAAATTCAGTAAAAAATAAAAAAAACGAAAAAAAATTCTTTGTGTGAGTTAAACCAAATAAAATTTAGCATGGAATATGTAATTATTTTTTAATATTATATAATAAATATTAATTTTATATTATCATTATTTGTGTGTCAAACGGGATCATATTTTGATCCAGTGGGCACAACTTAAAATTTAGATGTATTTTTTTAAGTTTCAGGTATAATAATACATTTGCGTGTAATTTGAACTGATATCCGATTATAAAAAAACGAGACCATAAACCTCAAGAGATTGGGTCAGTGGACAAAGTCTGGGACTTAAAAATACTCCCTTCAAATCTTAAATTCAATACCCACTCTTTGAAGTCATGTCTATACAAAACATGTATAATATTAGGTATTATAAAAAAAATATCATAAAATGTATTATGAAGATTTTTTATTCTTTAATTAGTGTGTGGTGTTTTATTCTAAATATAATATAAAGGTAGAAAATCTTTCATAATCATCTTCATAATATTTTTTTTCATGGTTCGTAACATTACTCACAAAACATTTGTTTTGACTTTAAATGAAACCCCCCACAAATAAATAGACTGTGAAATTGATTCTTTTATACGAAAAAGACAAAAGAAAAAAAAGAAAAAAAAAGCACAGAAAAAAGACGAGGTTCATGTCTATAATTGATAGTGTGATATGATTGTGAATTTTTTTTTCAATAATATTAGATATCATGAAATTTTTTTTATGAAAATAATTATAAAAATTTTGTGATTATTAGATTACAATTAAAATAAAACATTACACACTAATCAAAATAATCTAAAGATTATAATTCTTTTATGATTATTTTCATGATTCTTAATTTTTCTCTTTTTTTTTTTTTTTTCTAATTCTTTGTTTGTTTTGTTTGAGGTCTTGTATTTTTACCGGACTTCTTCAAAACCCAGAATGCTATTTGACGGCTCAATTTGGAATGTTGATTATAAGTGGCGTTTTGACTTTTTGCCAAAACATAAAAAGTGACTTTTTTTTTGCCATAAATTAATTTGGAATGTTGGTTATAAGCCAAAAGAAAAATTACGAAATTACCCTCCATAAATGGAAAATGAAAGAGTAAAAAATGTGTAATTTTTCAATTGACTAGGGATACATTGGTCATTTATTATGATTTGATATTATAAATAAATATTAATAAAAAAAATTAAAAGTCACTTTTTACTAACTTTTCAAATTATTTGTTTAAAAAAATCAAAAATTTAATTAAAAATCAAAAAATTACTTTTTACTACTCAAAATAAGCCTTAAACACTCTTGAAGTTGCAACTCACAACAAATATTGAGCAACCCTCACTCTCTCTTCTGTCTATCTGCCGTGACATTATTACACATTCTGAAACTACTATCAGTGCCCTCTCTCTCTCTTTTTTTTTTGAACTCTATGAGTGCTCTCTCTCTCTCTTCACCATGAAAACTCATCGTCCAAAGCTCAGAACCACACAACGCCCACTCTTCTCTTGCGGTTTGTTTCGTCACTGCACTCAAACTGTTCTCAGTCCAACCACCTCCAACCCTCCACCACTTCCTCTTTCCCAATCTGACCCACCACCACAACCACCACCTCCTCCTCCCCTACTATCCTCATCATCTGACCCACCACCACCCCAACAACCCGACTCTGAGTCCTCCTCATCTTCCAACACTTCCCAAAGCTTTACCCAGTGGAGATTCCCACTCCCAAACTCACCCATCTCACACCACTCTCACCCACCACCACCACCGCCGGAATCTGACCCATCACCACCCCAAACCCACCGCCATTCTTACCCACAACCACCGCCTCCAGAACTCTTCCACATCGCCGAGCTCCAACTCACTTCAGACTCCGATTCTGACCGACTCAACGCCCTCCACATGCTTGAACGCTGGCTCGTTCCGAACCCCCCCACAGCTGCCGCGGCCGTGGACGGAGGCGATGAGGTGGCCTGTCCGGCGGCGGTGATGAGGGGTGTGGTTGGGTATTTGAAGGAAAGTTCAGGGGCAAAACCGGCGACGAAAGTGTTGTTAGCGCTTTGTTTGGCGGAGGTGAACCGGCGCGTGGCGGTGGAGGCTGGGGCGGTGGGGCGAGTGGTGGAGGCGGTGGCGGACTTGGAAGGTGCGGCGGCGGAGAGGGCTTTGGCGGCGCTGGAATTGCTGTGCACGGTGGCGGAGGGGGCGGCGGAGGTGAGGGCCCACGCGCTGGCGGTGCCGATGATGGTGGAGGTGATGGGGAAGATGGCGGGGCGGGGGAAGGAATATGCTATAAGTGTATTGGCGGTGATTTACGGTGGTGGAGGCGGCGGCGGCGGAGAAGAGGTGGTGGTGGCCACGGCGGCTCCGCCGGAGGAGGTGGCGCGTGCTGTGGCGCTGGCTTTGCATGGGGATTGTAGTGCTAGAGGGAGGAGAAAAGGGGCCCAGCTTCTGAAGATGCTTCAGGAAAGTGGACGGTTGGATTTGACTCAAGGTGGAAGATAAACGGTGGAGATTTGCCTACAGTAAAACTGGTCAACATGGAGCAATGAAATCATGAAACGTTGCTGCGCAATCTCTTTTTACTTTATATTATAGAAATATGAATCCCAAATAATTTATTAAATTTTTTATCAAACTTATTGTAAGAGCGTAAGATCAACACGAACTCACAGGTATACGAGTCTTATATCTATGTGAGAAATTTGATAAAAAATTTAATAAATTATTTAAAATCTTTAGCATCACTCAATTTTTAGTTTTAAGATTTGCATAGTTTTCTTAACTAATTAATTTTCTATCCCTATGATCCCATCAGTTGGTTTTGATAAAAATCTAATAATAATATTATGTTGATTTATTATATGTTATGTTTTATAAGTTATTTCATTAGTTATCATTATGTCAATTTAATAAATTTCATTGTTTATATTAATTATTAAACAGTGATAAAGATTAAATTTCAAGTCATTCTGTACATCAATAACTTTAATTGAAATTAGCATGAAAATATATCGAGTAGTAAGTTATTCAAGTTTTATTTGATAATTTAGTAAGTTTAAAATTGTGTTTAAATTTGATTTGTTTTTATAATGAGTCAATCTCAAATGAGATTTGAGTGAAACTCGATTAGTTTGATTTGTTGTAGTGCATATAAATTTATGGAGCTGAATAGTAGACGTTAATAGTCAAACTTGACTTAAAAAACTTATTGAGCTGAAAATTATGTTCAAGTTTGATTTATTTATATATTGAGTTGATTTTGAATGAATTTTGAATGAACTAAATACGAGTTAAATTCGAGTAGTTTGGTTCATTTAATAGCTCTAATAAAAATGGCCGAATTTTCTCAAATAGTAAAAATTCACATTTATAGACTTAGTTTTGTGCACAAAATTACAATTTATTGAAGTCTAGTTCCCACATGGCAGAATCATATATTAAGGTGTAAATTATTGAGGTAAACAGTTCAGATTGGTATGATTATAAGAACCAAATCGGTATATAGTTTCACAAATTTAAAAAATAAGAGCTGCGGGTATGAACACGAAGTAAGGAAATATATATATATATATATATTAATAAATTTGCCTCACTAATCCTGGCATTAATCAACATGATTTTCTAGCTCACAAAGATGAAAATGACTGATAAAGGTGTAAAGTATACAAAACCTTAAGGTGAAATAATAAGAGAGAAAGATGTGTAACTGTAGAACCTTAAATTTTCACATGTCTTGATTACCTTTCGATTAATTAGGGAAAATAATTTTTTTTAATTGGTCAAAATTAAGATGGTTAAAATTTTTAAATAGATATGGGTCGCACTAAAATAATGGATCTTCACCCATTTTAAATTATGGGTCACATTAAAGAAAAGTGAATCTATTTTGACAATTGGGTCAACCCAAATGTGTAGGGCTTATGAAAATATTTTATCAAATTTTAATGGAATAATTCAAATTTAAATTTGAATGCAAATCATGTCCATAAATTAAGAAATAAATTGTTATTTTCTTGAAAATTCAAATCAATTTTGGAAATTCCAAAATTGATCATTCTCTCCTAAGCCTATAAATAGAGGCTCTCATCATGAGGAGATGTGGACATTCTTCGGCTAATGGTCTTACAAGCTCCTAAGCAATCTCGAGACTGCCAAATTCTCCTTTTAAAATTCTCTCTAAAGTTCCTTAAACTTAGAAGAAAGGATTATCAAGCACTCCAAACTTATGCCAATCATTTCAAATTACAAATACAAATTACAAATATATATAAAATAATACAAATATTTTGTTCATGTTATTTTAAGAGAAATAACAATCATTTCCTTTAGTTTAACTCACACAAAAAATTGAGTTTTTATTTTATTTTATTTTATTTTATTTTTTTATTTTTCGTGTTTTTTAAGGATATTTACCAATAAATTTTCATCCCCCACATTTGCGTCCCCCATTTGCGGTCGCATAGGCCGTCGCAAAAAGTCTTTTGCGACTGTATTTTTATTATTTGCGACGGCTTGTAGCGGTCGCAAAAAGTGTTTTTTTTAGTAGTGTAAGCAATCTCGAGACTGCCAAATTCTCCTTTTAAAATTCTCTCTAAAGTTCCTTAAACTTAGAAGAAAGAATTATCAAACACTCCAAACTTATGCCAATCATTTCAAATTACAAATACAAATTACAAATATATATAAAATAATACAAATATTTTGTTCATGTTATTTTAAGAGAAATAACAATCATTTCCTTTAGTTTAACTCACACAAAAAATTGAGTTTTTATTTTATTTTATTTTATTTTTTTATTTTTCGTGTTTTTTAAGGATATTTACCAATAAATTTTCATCTCACAAACAAGTATTCCAATTAGTTCCAAGTTTTTTTTCTATTGATCTATTAAGTCTTATTAGTGGAGAGTTCCTCTCCGTGTAGTCCTATTTTTTTTAAAATTTTTTATTTTAGTAGTGTTTTGGTAGACAACTATACCATTTTATTAATATGACAGGTATGATGTGATACTTCAATGTGACATGTATTAATGTGACACTTCAAAAAATTTAAAAATTCCTTAGTGTATTTTTCCCAAATGTGACAATGTGGTAGGTATGATGTGACGCTCTAAGACTTTTACTCCAAAAAAACTAAAAACTCCTTAGTGTACTTTTTAAAAATATGACAACATGCGGGTATAATGTGACATTCCAAGACTTTTACTTAAAAAAAAATTAAAAACTCCTTACACTATGTTTGGGAACCTAGGAGAGAAAAGAAAAGAAATGATTACTTAAGTTATAAGAGAAAATAAAAGAAAAGAAATGATTGTGATTTCTCTCTTTTTTGTTTGGATAAGGAATAAATAAAAGAAAAGAAATGATTGTGATTTCTCTTATTCTTGTTTGGTTAGATTTCATTAAGAGAAAAGAAAAGAAATTATTTTATGTTATATTACTAAAATAACCTTTTTATATTTTTAATCATTTTATTTCTTTTATTTTTATAAGGACAAAATTGGTATTATGAAAATAGTGGTTTCTTTTCTCTCCCAATCTCTCCACTTTTGGGAAGATTGAAAATGAGGATCATAAGAGAAATGAGTTTCTCTCCATTTCTCTCTATTTCTTCCTATTTCTCTCCACTTAGGTTATCCGAACCAGTAAGAGAAATACATATTTCTCCATTTCTTTTCTTTTCTCTCCAAATCACTCAATCCAAACATAGCGTTAGTGTATTATTTTTCAAATGTGACAACGTGGTGGCGGGTATGATATGACACTCAAAAAAAACTAAAAACTTCTTAGTATATTTTTCTCAAATGTGATAACTTGGAGGGTATAATGTGACGCTCTAAAAAAATAAAAATTCCTTAGTGTATTTTTTTCAAATATGACAACGTGGCAGGTATGATGTGACACTCTAAAAAAAATAAAAACTCCTTAGTGTTCTTTTTTCGAATGTAACAACGTGACGGGTATGATGTGACACTCTAAAAAAATAAACTCTTTAGTAAATTTTTTTCAAATGTCACATGTGACACTTCAATGTTACGTATCTGATATGACACTCTAAAAAAATTAAAAACTCTTTAGTGTACTTTTTTCAAATATGACACTCTAACGTGGCGAGTATGATGTGACATTAAAAAACTCCTTAATGCACTTTTCTCAAATGTGACATTTAAATGTGGCGGACAAATGAATCATTACACATTTAAAAGAAGTAAATGGATCACAAGAAAAAATATAGAACTATATAGATTACAAGTCCAAAATATAGGACTTATTGGTCAATCTCCCTCCTTTTTTTTTTATTGAATTTTTAAAAATATTTTAAGTATTTTTTTTATATTTTTTAGATACACCTAATCTAGATATACTTAAGAAGTATAATATTTAAAAAAAAAAAATTACCAAATACAAAAAAATAAAAAAATTCAATGTATTATCTTATTTTGTTGTATTCAATGATTTTTTTTTAAAGTCTTTTGTATACTTTTTAAATATATCTAGATTAAATTAATCTAATCTACATATAATGGTAGAAATAAAAATGAAAAATTATATTCATATATAAAAATTTATACAAAAAAAATATCATAAAAATGTTGTGATAGTGATATTATTGTAAGTATAAATCATGTTTATAGATGTTTTGTTTTAAAGTGAAAGGTCACAATTAAACTATATTATTGTGTTTGAAAATTCTATATAAAATTTATGTTTATATATAATCACTCAATAAGAATATGTTCAGGTAAAATTTAATGATGAAAAGTTATAGAATGTAGTCACGATGATAGGAAGAAAAAAGGTAGAAAAAGGGTAAGATGGTCATTTAAAAAAATTTAGAGTATGACATCAACAATTGAAGGGACAATTTATAATGAGATTACAAATCTCAAGAAAATGAATGTAATTTTTCAAATATGAAGGGAGAATTTGTATTAAACAGAAACCTTAGGGATGCCAGTATAATTTACCCATATATATATGTACGGGGAGCAAATATTCCGGCAAGCCCGTACTCCTTTCTTCCAAGCTCCGTTTCTGTCCGATCGACCTGCGAGCACAATGACGGTGAGCTACCCGGCGGTGTGTGGCCGGAAAAACCCTCCGACGGTCAAGTTAGCACACACCTTAGAGGGAATAGAGAGAAGGAAGAGAGTGTTTGAGTGTAAGAAATTCCTTACAGAGATGTTCGTGTGTCCTGTATGGGGGGCGCAGACAGGCTTATATACCTTCTGTGCCCCATATCCACTCCCTGTCATCTCCTGACACGTGGCTCTGCTATCCCATCTGTCAGCTTAAACCATGCCGTTCATCACCTGCTCTCAACTGCCTGACAGCATAGCTGGAGCTCGGCAGCCGAGCTGCCCTACCTCGGTCATACCATGCTTCATACCTTAAGCGCCCGACCGGATAACCGAATGAAGGACCGGGCTAGGCGGCATCTCGGCAAAGCTTAGCCCGGGATCCTCCTTTGGTCGGTCTTCTCGCCGGTCAGTCAACTACCTCGGCTGACCGCGCCTTTCCGAGCGCCGGCCTCTCGGTCTGTCTGATCTCGACAATCCTCAGACCGAGCATCCTGGTTTGACCGGTCACTTCCTAGCCGGGCACCTTCTGCACGGTTCGGGGCAGCACATAGTCCAAACTCTGCCCGGCCGAAGTTCTGGTACCCCATCTCCGGGTGAACAGTCGATCATCTCGGCCCACTGCTCTGCTGGGCCCCCAACCTGTTCGGTTTATACCTCGGCCCAACGCCGGAGCATAAATCACCCTCTCAATATATATATATATATACATGGCTCAAAATATGAATCGATATTTGGATATTTTTTGCCAGAATCGAACTAGTTGGTAATTTAAATTTTTTAAATTTTCACATTTTTTACTGTAAAATTACTAATTATGTTTAATTTAATCAACTTATCAACTAAACTCATTCAATTTTTCTTATGACATACTTCATCAAAGGTATGATTTAACCAATTTTAAATTTGAAATGTTTCTTTTTCTTATAAATAATTGTAAGTAATAACTATAATTAATAATATTTTATATGCAATTCATATATTTGAAAAATAACTATCAATTTATTTTCAACAATGATTTAGACCACTAAAAAATACATCACTAATAACACTAATACATTGGAAATGACAAAAAAAATAATAAAAAAATAAAAACAAGGCATAGAAAGTGGGTGGGGCCTACTGCCACATCATTAGTGCTCCCTTTAGTAATTCCCTTTTAGTGCTCCTAAGCATTTTTCATTTATTTTAAATAATTCATTATATCAATAAAAAAAAATTAAGTGCCCTTTTTAGCAAGTATAATAACAAAATAAAATAAGACAAAGATATGTAAAGTTAATCACTAATCTATAATTTTTTTTTTGAGAACTCACTAAGAATTGAAAATTTTCCTCTCTTTTTTTTTTAGATAAATTACAAATACACCCTTTAAGATTTGATTAAAATACAAATTGTCTCCTGTGGTTCTAAAAATCACATTCCACCCCATGAGGTTTTAATTTCATAACAAATCATTAAGTCAGTTAACAGTTTTTAATTATGTTATAAATATGTTTCAATTAATAATTTAGGTAATTTTATTATTACATAGGAGAGCAATTATGAATTTTTTTTTTAGTTAATTCTGTTAAATAAAAAATTTTAACAAAGGAATATTTGTAATTTTATAAATTATAAAGAATAATTTATACTTTAAGCAAACCTCATTCGGTATATTTGTAATTTATCTTTTTTTCTTTTTCACCGCTCAGCATCATTTTTTCAAAATAACAAAAAGTTAAAATATAGCTAATAAATCATCAAATTCTCTCTCCATCAGTCTCAACAAATTTTTTCTAAATTAACTTTTTGTTAAATTTGCTACAGTAATTCCTTTGATGAAGCGACCAACTGTTCATCGCTACAACACGCGGTTTGGGTGTAACCGGAAGTCCGGCCGGACGTTCGGCCAGTCAACCTGCCGGTCAATCGGTCAACGGTATTTTTTTTATTTTTTATTTTTTACATTTCCTCCAGTTTTACCTTTTGTAAAACATAAGAATTGTTTGGTTGATACCTCATCAATTTAATTATAAAAAGTAGAATAACAAATATTTTAATAAGAATGAATTAAAATAGAGAGTTTGATACATATAGTGGTTAGCTAAAATAGCAAAATAGATTTTTCAACTTAAATTTAAGCCTGTGTTTGGCAAGACAAGTTTGGGCTAAATTAGCCACAAACATCCAAAAGAGGCTAAAGTAGCCACAAACATCCAAAAAGAAGGCACGTGCCTGTGGTGTGGTTGAGGGTCTGTCTAGATTACCAAACTACCCCCTTCCCAATAGGTAGAGCAACACGAAACCAAGACAAGTTCTTTTCCTCACCTAGGGCTTTATGTTTCGAAGAAGGAGGGCGAAAATCAGAGACTACCGTCGGCGAAGAAGAACAATAAGTGACGCTGTCCATAGCCCAAGCCCACCGGACTGCACATCGGCGGCGATATTGCAACCATCGCCTCGTCGGCACTACCAATCCTCAAGTACACAGTTTTTTTTTTGTTTTCGTTTTTGGTTGTTTTTGTCTCCTTCAACCCCCGATCTGCTGTGTTTGAGTACAAACGGAAATTTCGGACTGTGGATGTTATTTTTTTGTTTGGCATCTGAGATAACCGAACTGTATTGTTTAGATCTTACAAAAAAAAAAAAAACTGGTTCAACACATGTGTTTTGTTTATTTATACTAAAATTGATCTCCGAAATTACCCTCCATCCATGATCTGTTCCATTTATTGGGTCGACCTATTTCATTCTTCACTCCCGTATATGTCGATTTACGGGAAATGTTGTCATTCTTTATTTTGAAACCATTCGGATTTGTCCTGTTTATGGACTAGAAATTCAGATCTTCTCTTTGATTTATGGGAAATGTTATCATTTTGTAGTCATGATTTTTTCTTTTTTTCGGATTTTTCAGATTTATGGGAAATGTTATCATTAAATTCAGAAATTACCATTCGCGACGTAATTTACAAATAAATGAAACACAAACAAAAAAAAAGTTATTGTATACCAATAAAAATAAAGAACAAGAACTAATTAATGTAAAAAAAAAAAAAAAGAGACAAAAACATAATTTTTAAAAAAAAAATTCGAAAAATTTAAGCACAATACGCCAAATCCAAACCCAAAATAAAAAAAAAAGATAAGCAAAATACGAAAAATCCAAACCCAAAATAAAAAAATTAAAAGAAAAAAAAAATTAAAGCAAAATATGCCAAATCCAAACCCAAAATAGAAAAAAAAATTTAAAAATTAAAGCAAAATTCGCCAGATCGAAACCTAACATAAAAAATAAAAAATAAAAATTAAGCAAAAAATGCCATATCCATACCGAAAAAAAAAATTTAAGCAAAATACGCCAAATCAAAACCCAACATAAAAAAAAAAAAAACCAAAATATGCCAAATCCAAATGGGGAAAAAAAAAAAAATTCAGCAAAATATGCCAAATCTAAACCCAAAATAAAAAATTAAAAAAAAAGGCAAAAAGGACAGTTTGGTAATTTGACAAGAAAACATCTCACCAAAAAGTCAAAAATCCTTCCCAAATCAAATCTTTTAATCCTAAACTAAAAATTCGCCAGATCGAAACCTAACATAAAAAATAAAAAATAAAAATTAAGCAAAAAATGCCATATCCATACCGAAAAAAAAAATTTAAGCAAAATACGCCAAATCAAAACCCAACATAAAAAAAAAAAACCAAAATATGCCAAATCCAAATGGGAAAAAAAAAAAAAAATTCAGCAAAATATGCCAAATCCAAACCCAAAATAAAAAATTAAAAAAAAAGGCAAAAGGACAGTTTGGTAATTTGACAAAAAAACATCTCACCAAAAAGTCAAAAAATTAAAAAACTCTTCCCAAATCAAATCTTTTAATCCTAAACTAAAATAATCAAAAAAAAATCCGAAAAGCTAAAAAGCCACCCAGTACCACGGAGGCTAAGTAAAAATTTAAAGAGCCCGATGCGGTGCTCTAGTATGTCAGACACAGGAAAAAGGATGTCCGGATCCTCTACCGTGCAGTCCTTTTAAAACGACGTAGGATGGAAGCAAGGCTACAGTTGATAACTATTTTGGTCCATAGGTCATGAAATCATGGCTCAAATCAATTGGTGAAAGTTTAAGAACACATAATGTGTTTGATCTAAATGTGAAGATAACCCAGTTGGGAAAATGGGGTCGGATCGAAGAAGCTGCCAAGATATTCAACCAAATGCTCCATCCCAACACTGTAACCTACAATTCCATGATCTCTGCTTACAGTAAAAATGGCAGAATAAACGATGCACGCCAACTGTTCGAGAAAATGCCAAGTAGAAACTTGGTTTCTTGGAATGCCATGATCGCCGGGTACTTGCGCAATGACAAAGTTGATAAAGCACGTGAACTGTTTGATAAAATGCCCCAGAGGGACGCCTTTACTTGGTCTTTGATGATAACTTGTTATACTCGTAATGGGGAGCTCGAAAAGGCTAGAGAATTGTTCGATTTGTTTCCTGATAAGATGAACCCGGTCTGTTGGAATGCAATGATTTCCGGGTACGCGAAGAACAGACGGTTTAATGATGCTAGGAATCTTTTTGATGAAATGCCCGATAGAGATTTAGTTTCGTGGAATTCAATGCTCGCTGGGTACACCCAAAATGGTGAAATGTCTCTGGGTTTGAAATTTTTTGAAGGAATGGCCAAGAGGGATGTGGTTTCGTGGAATTTAATGGTGGATGGGTTTGTGGAGGCGGGTGATCTGGATTCGGCTTGGCAGTTCTTCCAGAGGATTCCTAACCCAAACATTGTCTCTCAAGTCACAATGCTATGTGGGTTTTCTAGGAATGGTCTAATTGAGGAGGCTAGGAGACTCTTTGATCAAATGGTTGATAAAAATGTGGTTTCTTGGAATGCAATCATAGCCACTTATGTCCAGGACTTCCAAATCGAGGAGGCGATAAGGTTATTCGCACAAATGCCTGAGAAGGATGCTGTATCATGGACTACCATGATTAATGGATTCATTCGCGTTGGTAAGCTGGATGAAGCTAAGCAGTTATTGGGTAGAATGCCTTACAAAAATGTTGGAGCCCAAACTGCAATGATCTCTGGATATGTACAGAATAAAAGAATTGACGATGCTCGTCAAATTTTCAATAAGATAGGCACCCGAGATGTTGTTTGTTGGAACACTATGATTGCAGGCTATGCTAACTGTGGAAGAATGGATGAAGCTTCAAATTTATTTAAACAGATGGCCCGAAAGAACATAGTTTCGTGGAATACTATGATTTATGGTTATGCTCAAGCAGGTGAAATGGACAAAGCACATAAAATTTTTGAGGAGATGGGGCAGAGGAATATAGTTTCTTGGAATATCCTAATTTCAGGTTTTACCCAAAACAGTTTATACATTGATGCACTCAAAAACTTTTCATTGATGGCAAGGGATGGTAAGAGACCCGATCAATCCACATTTGTTTCTGGACTAAGTTCTTGTGCAAATCTTGCTGCTTTGCAAGTTGGGAAACAACTTCACCAAGTTGCTATGAAAAGCGGTTATTATGCGAATGACTTGTTCGTCAGTAATGCCTTGATCTCTATGTATGCCAAGTGTGGAACGATTTTGAGTGCTGAATATGTATTCAATGATATTGATAGTGTCGATGTTATATCGTGGAATTCGTTGATTGCTGGGTATGCCGCAAATGGATATGTGGAAGAGACGATTAAACTCTTTCGGGATATGGTAGTCAAAGGGGTGATCCCTGATCAGGTTACTTTTGTTGGACTTCTATCGGCATGCAGTCATGGTGGACTAATTGAAAAGGGTCTGGATTTGTTTAGGTCCATGACCGAGGAGTACAATATAGAACCTTTGGCCGAACACTATGCTTGCATAGTTGACTTGCTCAGCCGCGTGGGTAGATTGGAAGAAGCCTTTGAGATGGTGAGAGAAATGAAAATCGAGGCCAATGCAGGAATATGGGGTGCTTTACTCAGTGCTTGTCGTATACACAACAAAAAATTTGAGATTGCTCGGGTTGCGGCAGAGGAGCTTTCGAAAGTAGAACCTCGTAAAACTTCAAATTATGTGCTTTTAGCAAACATTCATGCTGGGGCAGGGCGATGGGACGAGGTTGAAAGGGTGAGGATGGAAATGAATGAGAGGGGAGTGGAGAAGCAACCTGGATGCAGCTGGATTGAGGATCAAAATCACCTTCATGTTTTTCGCTCTGATGACGACAATGGAGTTTTGCAGCAACAACAAGCCGATATCGGCAATACATTTAAGACTTTAACTGCACAGATGAAAACCTGCGGTGCAAGTTCTCTTCATTCTCATACGTATTATGATTGATGGTGTTGTTGTAAATGAATTTTCACTTATTGATACCGCACACAATACACTTGCAAATGTAAATCTTAAATTTTTTTTTTTTGTGGATATTATTTAAAATTCTTTTGACTTTATATAAACTTGCCATTATTTGGTTTTTAACACAGCAGTGCTCGTTACATTTTACATGATGTAAATGTTTAGGTTAAATGAGTGATAAAAACAGAGGGAAAAGTGAAATATATATATTTCATTTTTTACATACATTAAGCCATTTTGGTTGGTCTTAGTTACATAAATGCTGTATACCCATAAAAAATACAGTGTTTAGAATTTAAATTTAACGTGGTGTGACTCACACTTGGTACAAATCTGATTTACACGTAAGATTTTCGGCATTTTCCCCAAAATGCTCATTACATTTTACATGTAGTAAATGTTTGGATCAAAAGATTTATTAAAAAAAAAAAAGAAAAGAAAAATGAATAAAATATAAATTTTTAATTTTTTTTTCTTTATTTACAAATTCTTTCCAAACTCTTTATTCAAACACAATCTAAAAAAGTAGGAGTAAAACTGTTTATTCACAAATATTCTTGCAATCCACTCATCTCATGCGATGGTAGTATAAGGGACATATGGACCATATTGAACATATCAACCATATTATAGTTTTAATACCAGACATTGCACTAATTGGGGAAAGCAATAAGGAAAAGGAAATTGTTATTATTATATTTCACATCAGTCCTTAGTAGCCTCCTTTTTTTGATCGGCAAAAAAGAAACTTTATTGATGAAAAAACAAGTACAAGGTACAAGGAAAATTACATCAATAAAGGAAAGGGAAGTGCAAAAGCATCACAGTGAGCAAAATGATCCTAACTAGGTTGGCACCACCGAGCTCACCCTATCATTTGCTAGCACCCCTAAGTTGGTGAGAGACCAATGGAAAGAAAAAAAAAAGAAGAAAGAAGAACCAACCAACCAATGCTAGCACCTAAGCATAGCAGACCAATAGACTACACACCAGATGCTAGCATAGACACCATCCATAAATAGAAGCTCCCAACCTCAAGCAGCCTAACCAAGCTTCACCTTTCAACAAATTGATGAGAATTCCAGGCATTATGCAGCTTTAATCTCCTGAAAACAACACCAGATCTGGCTGATCTGGATTAACTTGATCACAGAATCAGCAGCAGCAGCTTTAATCACCTGTAAACTCCCCTCCATGATAATCATTGATGCTTATATCCAATGTTTCCAAGATTCTCAATGCTACTAATTCCACACAGAGCAACAAAAACAACACTGCAGCCTTAATCACCAATTGAACTAGAGCCTTGCACCATAGCAACCCTGCAGCAGGAAGAGACCAAACACTGCAGCAGATGGAGACCAACACCCAAGCATTTCAAACCAGCCAGATTTTCAACCAATATACACCAGAATTTCAGATGGAGAACAACTACCAGAAACACAGACCAGCCAGAATTTCAAACCAATCTTGGTCATACAGCAGCAAAGCATCCAGAACTAAAAATATACAGCAGCTGGAGAAGACCATATCTAAAACCAGCACCAAAACATCCAGAACTAAACTATGCACCAGCACCAAAACAGAACTTCCACAGCAGCTGAGGCAGAACAGGGCCAGAACACATATAGCAGCAGATGGGAGCGGTTGGAGAAGCCACCTTTCAGACCAAAACAACCCAGATCACAGCCAGAAGAGGATGGATCACAGAGATGAAGTTGCAGCCAGCCACTTCAACACAGAGATGAAGATGCAGCCAGGGGCAGAACAACCACCAATCAGTCCAGTGCAAATCAGTCCAACTCTATCCTAGAATATACAGACACAGAGACAAGCAGCAAAGAGACAGAGGAGTACAGAGCAGATTAGCTATGCAGCACATCAACTCCCAGCTTTATTCAATAACATACCTGCTTCAAATTAGATACAATGTCATGCACTGAGTACTGCATTTCTTTCAAATTTGATTTTGCCCATAAAGCGACTCTAACCTTCACCAACTCTGCTAATTCTGCAAAATCTGGTCTTCCTTCTTTAAACACACTCATTTCTGAGTTTCCATACAGACCACAGCATTGCTACAGGAGCTACCTTCCAAATTTCCTTCACCTTAGCCTTCTGACTAAAACCTGACCACCATAGAAGTAGATCCTCCACTGAACCAGGGATGCACCAACTCAGATTCCACCAATTGACAATTTCAGACCAGACTCCCCATATCAGATGACAGTGAAGCAGCACATGATTCATGGTCTCCACTTCAGACTTGCAAAACACACACAGTGGGTTGGCATTAGGGTTCAACACTCCAATTCTAAGCAAAAAAACTGAGGATTTAATTCTACCTCTCCAAGCTAGCCAACTCAGGAATTGCACTTTGGGTGGAGCTATATTCTTCCAAATGGTCCTTGTAATGGGTTTTACAGGTCCTTTAGTAGATTCCAAAGATTTTCACATAGATGCTACAGAAAAGAACCCAGAAGAGTGGGCTAACCAAAGCCAAGAATCTTCAACCAAAGTATTTATGGTAGGAGCATTTTGCAACAAATCATTCAATTTAGACACTTCCTCCTCTTCCCAAGCAAATAGGGTCCTTCTAAAAGCAAACTTCCAGTTGCGACTCTCTCCTTTCCTTTGGACAAAATGCAGCAGTAGCCTCCTGGTGTATTACTTATCCATGTCCCGCATGCCAATCTCAGTAGAAAAGGAATTGGATAGGAACCAATGTCGATTTTTTGTGGGTGATAGTGAGTGTGTAAAGAAACTCCATATGGTTAAATGGGGTAGAATTATGATGGATAAGGAAATGGGAGGGTTAGGGATAAGGAGATTGAGAGAAACGAATGACTCTTTGCTATTAAAATGGTGGTGGAGATTTGGGGTGGAGAAGGATTGTTTATGGAGAAAAGTAGTTTGCAGTGTATATGGGATTGATGAGAAATGTTGGCTACCATCAGTGCCTCTATTAAATTCAACTGCAGGATCATGGAAGGAAATTGTGCTGGTGGAAAGAAAAAATCCTTATATGTTCAGCCTATTTGTGGAATATTTATGCTTTTCTTTGGGAGATGGTAAAAGAAAGTCTTTTTGGAATGATAAATGGTTGAGAGGAGGTGGGTCTTTAAAGATTTGTTCCCAAGGTTGTCCCAACTGAGAGTAAATAAACAAGGGTGTGTGGCAGATTTTATGGAGCATAGAAATGAAGTGGTTGTCTGGAAGCTCTTTTTCATAAGAATCCTCTTCTCATGGGAGGAAGAAGAGGTGAGAAGAATTAAAATTCTGTTAAACACAGAGGTTGTAACAAGGCAGAGGTAGATTGATACAATCCAATGGAAGCTTGATTCCGATGGCTCGTTTTCTGTCTTAACACTTTGTTGCAGGTTTGAAGACTCTTTGGGATCGAGAGTTAAGGACCTAAAATTAGTCTGGAACAATGCAGCCCCTCCCAAAGTGCAATTTTTTGGGTGGTTAGCGTGGTGTGGCAGGGTAAATCTGTAGATCATCTCATGAGGATGGGAATAATCACTAATCAAGAGGATGGTTTGTGTAGGTTTTGTGGTAGTATTGTTGAATCAACTGACTATGTGTTGATATGGTGTGATTACGTTTGGAGGATTTGGGCAGAAATAATAAAGTGGTGGGGATTGGTTTGGGCGGCACCAGATACAGTATGTTCCCTACTTGAGTGGTGGCAAAGCTGGAAGTACAAAAAAGTGAAAAAGGTGGTTTGGGAGTAATTCCTTGTGCAGTTATATGGTCTGTTTGGGGACTTAGGATCCAGTGTATTTTTAACAATATGCAACCTAATTGGGAAGAGCTAACTGACTTGATTAAGTATCGTGTGGTGCTTTGGGTTAGCTTAAAGCCTGAATTGAGAGCAATGTTGATCATAGAGCTGCTTTCTTGTCGTCAAAATCTGTCATGATACTTATAGTGTCATGTTTGAGGACAGATAGTCTGAAGGTTGCAGAGGAGCTGGAAGTTCAAAGGGTGTTCTTTGGTCTACCAAAGACAATCTGTCATGCATGGATTTACTGGTGCTGTTCTTTGGTCTAACAAGGGGATTTTCTGTTTTGATGCTGTTTCATTAGGGTAGAGGCTGCATTGGACACCCAGGCTAAATGTGCTCAAGGTGGGATCTCATTGGTGGAAGCCTCTGCTGTGTTTTATTGGATTGAGCAAAGAAGTGGAGGTGACCATTTGTGGTTGCTGCTGCTGATGTGTGCCTTATGTTTTTGCTGCTGAAGTGGGCTGGTTTTTTGCTTTACTTTTGCAGCTGTGGTGGGCTGGATTGGTTTGAAATTTTGGGTGTATTTCTGTTTTGCTTTCCTTGCTCCTTGCTTTCTTTTGTTTGGTTACTCACCAAACTTGGCGTAGTGTTAGTATATGATTGGACTTACATTTCGGTGCCAACATAGTTGGGATGATTTTGTTATGTTATGATGCTTTTTGCAGTTGTTTCCCTTTATTGATGTTTTTCGTTGTATGTATATGCTTATGATTCATCAATAAAATTCTTTTTCTTTTGCTAATAAAAAAAAAAACAACATAGTAGATGACATGAATTAAAACATGTTTATGATTTTTTTTGGTAAAAACAAAATTATAAACCATGTTTGGTACATATTTTTAATAATATATATATTTGCAAAAAAGTGAAAGGAGTGGTCGCTGGTGGTTGAAGGTGATTGTCGACAGTAAGAAATAATGACTGGATGTGGTTATTGGCCACGAGAGTTGATGGCTAATGGTTGGAGATGGCAACCGATTACTGGAGGTTATGATCGAAAGTGATTTTTCATCAATGGATGGTAACTAAAGGTGATTGTTGTCGATGGAAGGTGGTTACTGGTAGTTGGAGGTAATTGTTGGAGAAGGTCCTTGGTAACAATGACCGGAGGTGGGGTGATTCAACATGGTAGCCGATGGTGTTGATGACCAAGAGTAGGTTGGGAGAGAAGAAAGAATGAATAGATTTTTATTTTCATTTTTCTAAATAAGTGAAACCTACTTTTTTTTATTACAAAAATTTAATAAATTATTTAGAAGATAATGAATGAAATTCTACATACCCATTTTAAAATTTTTGTAAATATGAACAAACGGAACTTTTAAACATAATAAG